AAAAAAAAAAAAGGATACTGGACAGGCGAGTTGTTCTCGTGTCACATGTGGGCGTGGGGCTTCTGCTTCTACCGGTTCCTTTATTCCCCATCTCTGTCGCATGCATCCCTGCGTGTCCGCTCACTCCCTCCCCTTTTCTCGCTCTTTTGGCACCTGTGCAACGTGGAGAAGGAACATAGAGAGAAGGAAGGTGAGAAAAGTCGCAGAGTTCGGCTTGCCCTGTTGTCGTTCTGATTTCTCTGCATTTCCTGCGCACTACGACAGTTGCCCACACACACAGACACACAGACAGACACATCGACTGCAACCATGGGCCGCGAGAGCATGCTGCATAACATCAACCGCACGCTGCAGCTCACGCTTGACGACGGCAGGGAGATGACAGGCAAACTGCTCGTGTACGACCGCCACATGAACGTCGTGCTTGGTGACACCACGGAGCGGCGGGGGGAGACGAAGAAGATGAAGGAGGCGGGTATCAGCCCGCAGCGCAGCTTGGGGCTGGTGCTGCTGCGCGGCGAACACATCATCTCCGTGACGGTGCTCGCCGGCGACGACGCGGTGCGGCCAGCGAAACTCGAAAAGGCACCGCGGGCAAAGACGTCAGGGACGAAGCGCGCGCGCTAAAAAAAGAAAGGGTGATACTTACCTTGCGCTGTAGTGTGTATCCGGGCGCCGTGCGGTGTTGCGCTCTGTCGGACCTTCAGCTCCTCATGGTGGCTTTCTTCTTTTCTTTCTGTTGTTCTTTGTTTTTTGTTGTTGTTGTTGTCGGTGGTGGTGGGGGCACTGCACGGCCCGAGTAACGAGACATTAGGTCAGAGGAACATATCGNGGTCCCCAACGCCCTCACACGACGAGGAAACAACTGCAGTAGACAAGAAATAGGCGTGCAGGCTGTGCATCTGTACGTGTGTTGGCTGGATACACACGAATAAACAGAGACACACCCGCATATAGAGGGTTGGGTGGAGGCGACACCACGAACACGCACATATAGTAGAATGCCACCGAAGTACGGTCGACGCGCGGGGGAAGCGCAGAATACGGATGGCGCCGCCGCCGCCGCCGCCGCCGCTGCTGCTGCAGCTGGAGGCGTGGCACATGAGAGTGCGACGCCCAACACACGGGCAACTGTGGATGTGGTGGTGCAGGCGGAGGCGCTCCGCAGCCTTGAAGACGGCGTGGACGAGCAGTCGCGCCAGCAGTCTGGGCAGAGGGACACGGAGGAGCGGGATCGGCTTGTTAACGGCTTTGCGGAGGCACCAGTTGGTTACACTGCCGACATGCCGAAGCTTGCGGACTTAGACATATCAAATATGTGGAACGACTTTCTACAAGTCATTCACCAGGATTACGACATGTCGGCGCTGACCGCCTGCCTCTCGCAGCACCTCGACGACGAGGACGTGCCGTGGCACCCAGATATGCTGCTTGTGCAGCTCACATCGGATATACTCGACGCTGCTGAAAGCAACCTCGGCGGTGACGTCTCCCCCGCCGGTGGGGCGGCTCCGACTACAACTACGACTGCTGCTGCTGCTGCTGCTGCTGGCGAGGCACGACGGCGGCGGAAAGTGCTGCTGGAGGACGCAGACGAGCCGCAGCAGGCGACGTGGGGCCGCAAGCGCCGGCAGGGCCCAGGCGCAGCCTCTGGAGCCGGCGACGACACCAAGGGCGAAGGCCCTCATCCCCCACAAGCATTTGCCGAAGTGAGCGTCAAGAGCCCGGCAGCAGGAACAACAACAACAGCCGCCAAGCCGGCGGAGGCGGCGAAGCAAAAGGCGGAGGCCTCACCATCAAAGGGGAACAGCAAGGGCACTGGAGGCAGCAGTCACAACAGCCACAGCAAGAGTAACCTCAAGGGCCCTGTCAGCAGCAGCGGTGGCGGCAGCAAAGAGGCGCGGACGCCGAAGAGCAGTAGCACGGCCGCACCGTCTGCCGGTACATCGTCGAAGAGTCACCCGCCGCCGTCGTCGTCGTCGGCCGAAGTTAAGAAGAGCTCTCATGCCTCTTCAAAGACGTTGCTGCCAAAGAAGACTGAAAAGAAGGACGAGCCGAAGAAATGAGCTGCTTTTTCTGTCACTGCAGCTGTAGTAGCAGAAACAGCCACTGTCGGGCGCTCCCCACAAGAAAGGGGGAGG